TCTGCCTAACATGCAGAAGGTCCCCAGTTCGATCCTGGGCGGAAACAAGTATTTTGTTATATCCTACATTTTGAATATAACATTTTAACAATGTTGTTCGACTTTTCCCTACTGGTACTGTTACATTACCTATTCAATTACATTATAGATAAAAACAGTTTCAATTTCTGCCGTTTCTCTTATGTAAACAAGTCTTTGTAATAATCGTAGACTGTCGAAATAGATGTAAATTTTGATAGTTAATAGTTGATTGATAGTTGATAGTTAATGGTATGCATTATTTCTGCTTAGTACTAAGGCGAAGTGACCGTCTTAAAATACTAACACGTTACAGCCAACGGTTTCCGTGGTGTAGCGGTTATCACATCTGCCTAACACGCAGAAGGTCCCCAGTTCGATCCTGGGCGGAAACAAGTATTTTTTTTATAACTTACATTTTGAATATAACATTTTTGCAATGTTGTTCGACTTTTCCCTGCTGGTACTGTTACATTACCTATTCAATTATATCAGAGATAACAATATCAATTTCTGCTGTTTCTCTTAAGTAAAGAAGTCTTTATAATAATCCTAAACTGTCGAAAAAGATATAGATGTTGATAGTTAATAATAATAAAACATGAAAATAAAAAGATAATATTAAAACTACGCTAAATGGTTAGCAATCATGCAGGTCGCACAATTTGAAGCCACTGTATATTCAAGGATGGTACAAATTGATAAATAGGATCTTCTGAAATGGCGTACGGTAAAAATACATTATTAGTAAACCAATGAAATAACACAATTTTTAATAACGTAATAATTTAAACATACATTTAAGACAGAGTTTAAAGGTGAACCAAAATGCGAAGCCAACGATTTCACAGTAGTAAAGTTGCTTAATTTGTTCCACTTATTCCTTTTCTCTATTGATAATTTTGCATGCAGGTAAATCTTGTTCCCGATTCTTCTTTTCTTGCAAATTAGTATGAGCAATATAATTCAATTAGTATTAAAAACTTGAATTGTTCAAGTTACAAATTGTATGTTTTTTTACAATTGATTTTCCTAGGCTATACAGAAAAAAACTATGTACACGAATTTAATAAATGTGTGGTGTTTAGTGACCGTTAATTAATGATTATTTAGAAATCTTGAGATGCGGTTTGGTGTGATGCAGATTTAGACAAACATTTTCTTTATCGTGCCAACGTTTTGATCTTTATTGACATCATCTTCAGCGCTCAAAGTGTGTGTTTTCTGTGTAGATGTGTCATTGCTGAGGGGCACTCTCAACACGACACACAGCAATGACACATCTACACAGAAAACCCACTTTGAGCGGTGAAGATGATGTCAATAAAGATCGAAACGTTGGCACGATAAAGAAAATGTTTTTCTAAAATCTACGTCACACCAGACCGCATCTTACGATCTGCAAATAATCATTATTCAATAAACCTAATAAAAACACATTTTTTTGTTCAATTAATATGTATTATTGAACAAAAAATTGTGATTCGTAATAAGCCTAGGTTTTTTAAATAATATGCATTACGATTCTATACTCATAATTGTTTATTTATTGTGTAATACTGGCGACAATGAAATATTTAATTAGATGTAATAATGTGGTTCCGTTTTAAAAGTGACACTCCTCAAGAACACTTTCTCTTGCATAACCCGTTGATGACAGAATATCCCACAGTGGCAATACAAGACAACTTATTAGAACTTTCGGTCGTTCGATTGTAATTGTTAAATTTCCATCCAGTTCGAATCATCCTTTGAAGGAAAATTATGCAATAAAAGACTACACACCAATGAGTTGTGTCTTTATATAAGTAAAACTGTTCAAAGTTTTCGATTTAGGCAGAAAAAACTATGAATATTAGGAAAATATTGAAAACCTAATATCAGAGACGAAGTCATAAAACATTTAACATACTGATCAGTTGATTCAATATTATTAATATTTATCCTGTATTATTTTAATTACAAAATTTCCGAAAATATTAGGTTCTATTAAAATTTTCGTGCAGTTTTTACCAAAGCACGCGTATACTTATATTACTTAAATCTTTTAACTAAGTAATTATATACTTTTGCTTGTGTATTTACAAGCTTTATCTAAAACAGAATTCAGAAATTTTTAAGTAAGTATTTCCTGTCGTACAGGAGTGCTTCACGTAGTTTTTTCGAAAGATTTGGCTAATTTAAATCGTTATACCAACTTGCAAGAAGTGAACCATTAGAAAAAGATTTAATCCATAACTTGTTTTCAAATTATGCTGATCGTCTATACTTATGTAGGTAAATTTATTTACTTGTGTAGAATTTTTGGAATATCAATGGAGATAAAGGATAAGTTGAGTAGATTAAGTAAACTGACTACTGTAGAAATCGTTGCCTTCGGACTTCGCGGTTTAGACGCATGCACGTGTGGTCAATTTGACCTATTTTCTTAGGATAAATCTCAAGAGGAGGGATTTAAAGGATAACTGGTTTCCGTGGTGTAGCGGTTATCACATCTGCCTAACACGCAGAAGGTCCCCAGTTCGATCCTGGGCGGAAACAATTTTTTTCAAAAATATTTTGAAATGTATTTCGGATCTATAATAATCATTATCGTAATAATAATTACGATGATGTATTCATTTTAATAGGTTAGTGTTTAATTTCTTATACGATCAAGGCCGGAAACGAACTTTTATCCACAAAAGTTTCAACTTTTAAAAATATTTTAATACTTAACAGAACCTTAGGATCAAATTTATTTATTTTTTTTATTGTTATTATTTTATTTATTTATTTATTTTACGAGGGTTCTATCAACCCTTGGGGTGCCGGTGTTGTTGAAAAAAAGTCTATTTGTAAGTATGTGGAGTTCGAACGCAGGGCCGCTGGATTCGAACCCGGGACCTTTACCTTACAGTGATGAGCGCCGTGTCAACGCCTAAACCGTTGCGGCCACCGACGCCCAAATTAATCTAGTAAAATGCATGTGCATCCAGAAACAAATAATAATGGAATTTACGTTAAAATATCCAACAAAACACGCGTGTTTTTTCCCCTGGATTTAGAAATCCATCTGTTCATAATAAATAATAATATGTGGTGATTAGTGACCGTTAATCGATAATTATTCAGAAATCATGAGATGCGGTCTGGTGTGATGTAGGTTTCAGAAAAACATTTTCTTTATCGTGCCAACGTTTCGATCTTTATTGAGATCATCTTCAGATCGTAGAAAATAGAAATACTTTCATTGAATATAAAAAAATATATTTTGCATTGTATAAATTCACTTTTCCACATCCTAAATGTATTTGTTAAATGTAAACAATGTTTGTAAATCCCAGGCCCTGAAGATGATCTCAATAAAGATCGAAACGTTGGCACGATAAAGAAAATGTTTTTCTGAAACCTACAACACACCAGACCGCATCTCACGATTTCTGAATAATTATAAATAATAATCTATTGTACAAGTCATTCAAAAACCAATTGGGACAGAGAGGACAAGCGATACTAGGCGGGGCCAAACACGTTTTTCGTTTAAGATCCAACATTCTACACATAACCCAAAAATATACACATTTCATCGTTCGCTGGTTGTTTTTGCCATTCTCTGTCAAAAGAGCTCTTGAACAAGTTGAAATCTTCTTCAGACTTCAGTAAATTCAATGCTCATTGTCTTTCTTTGTGCATAAAACCATTGCAACAGATCGATGAAGCTGACTAATTCGATTATCATGAAAGACAAATACTGCCGCTTCAAAAGAATTGACTTTTATAAGGTTAAAAAAAGAATGATGATAGTTTTTACAGAAATTTTCATCTTAAAGACATACAGTAAAAGGTGTTGTGAAAGAAAATTGTATTTTTCATGCCAAGCTTTGTGTGATTGCTACATCTTCAGGCCTGTAAAACTTTAATTCGTCCTAGAACGCCCTATGCTTAGTGCAGATACGTATGTACCTGTGTTGCTGGCCATTCTTTCCATAATTATTAGATCATCTCCACTGTACAATTTAACCAAACAATGAAGAAACACTTTTTGTCTTTGTCATAATTTTAGTACACATTTTCATTAGTAAAATAAGTATCTCATAGGAAAAATATAAATATGTGTCATAATTTCTTTGTAATATCTTTGGGTATGTTATTCACTGTAACGTGGTCGACATGCAGTCAATTTTTTAAAATAATTTTAATGCTGATTTCCTGTAAAAATGTATGTACGTGTTTAAAATGATGGAATATTGACATGTGTGAATGAACATCTTTCTAATCTGGGAAAATTATTTCTAAAACCCAGATACAAGCTAACCTAAAATATTAAGGATTTTAATGTCAATTGAAAAAGGAATTGTAATTAAGTAGTGTTTTTTCTTGAAATTACCGGACATAGCAGTTACCAGATGTATGGTATAACTGATTACACTGCAAACTTACAACATAGTTTTACTAAATTGTAATTTCTGAAATATCAATTCATACAAGGAAATAGTTAAACTAATTAAGCATCGACTACCGGAGAAATCGCGGCCTAGGACTTCTTCTCGCGCGTTAGACTGTTGTCCGTCAATTTGACCTATTTTCTTATGATAAATCTCAAGAGGAGGGGTTTTAAGGATAACAGGTTTCCGTGGTGTAGCGGTTATCACATCTGCCTAACACGCAGAAGGTCCCCAGTTCGATCCTGGGCGGAAACAAGTCTTTTTTTATATCCTTCAATTTGTATTATAAGATTTTAGCATATATTGACCAACCTCTAAAGAAACATGACGTACTGTGATAATTTAATAATTGTTGGTGTTTCAACGCTATTTCAAATCTGGTTGACTCCCTATTTTGCCGATTAGACATCTAAGTACAATAAATAGGCGAATGCTTATAATACGGTGGTTACATTTGTCTTTTACAAACAATTGTATGCTTAGTTATATGTACCTATTTGTGTTAATACTAAGGCCGTATGACTGTCTTAATGTACTGAAATATTACAGCCAACCGTTTCCGTGGTGTAGCGGTTATCACATCTGCCTGGCAAGCAGAACATCCCCAGTCCGATCCTAGGCAGAAACAATATTTTTTATTTTTAATGAATTTTTAGAGTAGTACATACAATAAATATTTTCAACTATCAATTACCAGTAAGTTTTGATAGTGTCTTTTCACATTTGATCATTAATATTTATCTCACACTTGAATTAATTTTTTTAAAATTTGTAATCTATATGCACTCTTATGCAAAGTGAGTGGAATAAACATAAAATCAAATACAATAGTGGCCAAGTTTGATGCTGTGGTAATTGCGAGCAATCGATAACGTTCGAAAATATTTCTAATAATGAAAATTAACGATAATATCACAAAATTATTGTTTAAGTATTGATATGTACGATTATTGATCGTCTTTCCCTAAAGAAAAAGACGTTTCTAGTTTATGAATGGTTAGTATTTCAACCAATACTAAGGCAAAAAAACCGTCTTGAAATACTGAAATACTACAGCCAACAGTGTAGAGGTTATCACATCTGCCTAACACGCAGAAGGTCCCCAGTTCGATCCTGGGCGGAAACAAGATTTTTATTCACATGAAATTCATATGGACTTAATCTCCGTAAATGTTAAATTGGGTATTTAATTTTTGTGTTTTGTTTTTGTTTTGCTAAAATAAAGTAGGATTACGATATAGTATTTATTGAGGAAATAAACATGTAATTTCAATATGGGCTTCAAGGTTATCATGTATTTCAAGATAATTTATTATACATTAGTCGATATTGTTTTTAATATAATATACCATAAGATGTAAGATCGAATTAAAGATTAAATATATAAAAACAGTTCGTTTTAAGTACTCATCACATCACCCAGTACATTTAAGTACCTCTGCAAAATTCCTTGTAGATCAGTGGAACCGTTTCTATAATAATTCGTATTTAAGTGCATTGAAGGGTACTTAAGACCGAATTGTCTTTTGGACTTTCCAAAACAATATTTTTGCCTACTTTCCTGGAAGGGTCTGTTGGTTTTTTTAACTTTTTATACAATTAATCTTCTTTAATCTAATCCTGCATATTATTCTATTATCCTAACGAAATAATAATAATAATAATATAACACAATTATTGTTTAAGAATTGATATGTGCGATTATTGACCGACTTTCCCTAAAGAAAAATACGTTACTAGTTTATGAATGGTTAGTATTTCAACTAATACTAAAGCGAAGTGATCGTCTTGAAATACTAAAATGTTACAGCCAACGGTTTCCGTGGTGTAGCGGTTATCACATCTGCCTAACACGCAGAAGGTCCCCAGTTCGATCCTGGGCGGAAACAAGTTTTTTTTTTTGTAATAAAATTTTATAATGAATCGATAGTGATAGCAATTACCTTGATGTATTAATTATTATGTTTACATTATTGTAGTTGATTCCACGTTTTTTTCTCTCCTCCTAAAAAGGTTTTTTTTAAATTATAGGGAGTCTTACGAGGTTACTGCTTGGTAATTAACATTGATGTTTTTTAACATAAAATAAAAATAAAAATGTGATGTAAATGGTATTAATTAATAATACTATAATGTGTACTACTCTGACTGTACTTCTTGTTATGGTTACTGATGACGGGCAGAAAAAATAGCCCGAAACGTAGACGAAAATGTGAAATAAACTAACTTTTAAAACCACCACGTGTCTCTTGGACTACACCTAATTTAAAGAAACTCTAGTTAGTATGGTGACCGACAGTGGTTACAAGATCATGAAGATATTGTCAATCCTGGATTGAGACTATTTTTTTTCCATGTAAATTTCATACTCTACCTCTATTTAAATGAAATTGTATGTTAAAGAAAAGTCAGAAATATTCATATTTTGAGAAAAATCGAAATGGTATAAATAATTTAGTGCAGTATGTAAAACTTTTTAAGGTATGATGTTCTTTGAGGTTTTGTGAGATATTTTTGGGAATTTTTCGTACCTTCTGACCAGTTTAGACAGATAAATTTCAATTGAACCTGTTTTTTCCCGTTTTGATAAGACTCAAACAGCCGAAAGACTTTATCCACTGTGCTAAAATCCTTCCAATTCAGGTTCTATTTAAAATCGAAAAAAATCCTCGTATGTACAACCCCTTGAGATTAATCGGTGAAAAATCTTGACCTTCCTAGTAAGATCGGATGAAAAGTCTTCATCTATTTTCAACACTCTCCGGGAGATCCGCGTCTGCGGAGGGGGGGCGAGAACGTCTGCCCAACTCCGCCTCCACAGAGATCCCACTGTCAGTAGTGATGTGAAGATGGTCCGCGGTGGCAGCGGCCGATTCGTCGCGGCGACCGTCGCTCTACTTGAAAAACAGCAGACGAAGCAGCAGACTTCGGATAACAACAACAAAGGTAAGTACAATTTATTTTTCAATTTATTTTTTTACAAATCTTTCCGTCAAAAAAAAATCTTAAGGCCAAATTTGCTTTTGCGTCAAACCGTTGGTTTATTTAACACGCTGTTGTGCCTAATGCTTAAAAAATTAAACATTTCCAATTGTTAACTTTTTCCGTATTGCAGGCCATAACAAACATTTGTTATATAATTAAATTTTATTCCTTACAAACATTAATTTTGTCCATAGTCAACAATGTTCAGAAAAGAATTTCTAAGAAATAAAATTAAAATTTTAACAGTCAGAGTTGAATCAATGTCAATTTTCAGGGCTGTTGGTGAAAATTTTCCTTAAAAACCACAATGAAAAGTTTATTATTTATATCTGCTGACTATGATGACTTTGTATTATATCATAAAAATCAGATAAATATTATAAAGTTCTTGTTTTAAAGTTTAACTCCAAGCTTCTGTCAAATGATTTAAGAACTTGGCCTTTTCTTTTGGAAAGGATAATATTTTCACATCTTCACTAAGATTTTCACTTTATAAAAAATCTTGATTAATAGTCTGTATTCCTCTAAATCTTCATTTTAAGAAAAACCAAATTTTTGTCGATTTTTGGTCAGTTTTCATCCTCTGGAGTCGAGGAATTGCTGGGACGCATCTGACCGTAGCGCAATACGAGAAAATCGCAACTGAATCAGATAAAAAATTCAGAACACTGATTGTGAGTTACATGCTGATCGTTTTGGCCCAAGAGATTGCAAATTAAACTTATAAACCCATTTCAATTATTTAAAACATACATTTCTATTAAATCTGAAAGAAACCAGTTATTGCGTGGTAGCGTAATTTATTTAGTGTTCCGGGCTATAAAGCCGATCTTCAGCATTCCCAGCTTAGAATTTCGAGATATGACAACCACTAGGTCTTTTCTATTCGTGTCCCGCTTCTAGGCCCTTGAGAGGGCTTTGCAGGTGAGAGATATGACAACCAGCAATCAGTACGGTTCATGTCAAGATATACACAAAACTACCATAAATTTTTATGAGATGAGATGATGCGAATAGTCAGTTTTTCCTTATTAATATTATTTGCAGGATTATTTGTAATTTTTAAGTTCTAGATATAATACGGACCTAAAGACTCATTCTTAATGAATTGACTCCAGCGTAAATATTATTGCAAACCTGGCTTTCTTGTACGTTTGATGTCGAAATTAGAACTTAAAAAAAAGGCTTTAGGTAAAGTTTCCAGCATTGACTAAGAGTTGAGTAAACAGTTTATTTCTCAAGAGATAAACATCTTATTTTCAGCATATGCTGTGGAAAAAAGGTTAGTGATGGGTTTTGTGGGTTTATTATATAAAATTTGTTTAAGGAAGACGCTTTTCCTTTGTTTTTTTGAGATATATCACCAGTTAGGTTTGTTCATGTTTTGAGCCTCTTGTTATTTTTGGCCGGATTTTAATCCGTCGGCTCGTTTTCTTTGTTATTTCCCGCGTTTACTTGCATTACAGACACATTCGACTGTGCCCTACTTGGACCCCATTTAATCGGAGAAAGGGGTGAAATGGAAATCGGAGGTGTCGGACCGAAAAAAAGAGGATGCCCGTACTACTTTAATGAGTTGCGGTATGTAAATAACGGAAAGATAATTGCCCCGATCTCTTTTGAATCCGCGGACACCCAAGAGGAAAGACTGTCCTGGGTGATTTTGTAACCTAACCCTGGAAAGTCCGCCCCCGGCTGCTCTGAATCCTTAAACGGGGCCGTGAAAAGAAGCCGTGTCATTTTTCCTGTTAGTTGTCAGGTCCAGGCTGGGTTTGCGTTTGACAAAGTCCCGATAGAAAAGCCCACACCTTCGCATCTCAATTAATTGTTCCCTTCAATTTACATTCCATTTCATTCATTACCGATTTTTATTTTTATTGACTCATTTGAGGCCGTAAAGGATTTTCTCATATTTCATCTCGTCCTGGATGGTGAAATTGTTATCGGATTTCTCAAGCCTTTCAGGCCATTCCCACAGTTATTTTTTTTTATTTTTATTAATTAGAATTACAACAAATAATCCAGGATAATGGACGTTAATGTCTAATCATTTTTTATTNCCTGAAGCCAAGAGTGGCTTATAAAAATAAACATTAAACAGTAACAATCGCACCTTGAATCGTCCCTGTACTAATCTCTAAAAAGATTAAATTAATTTGATCAATTAACCAAGATTATCCTTACTTACTTAATAGTAATTTTTTTTTATTCAAAAATTAACTACGATATTCTGAAACAGGAGAACGCACACCACCCTCGAGTCCGAAATCACAAAGGCCCAGATGGAAGCCAATCTCTGCTTTTTCATCCGACCCGCCAGGAAATTGAATCCTTTGTGTTCCCTCTCTCGATCAATTACCATTATGAGAATGGGCTAAGATGTAAAATTGGACAAAAATCTATTGGCGGCATTTATTTCCTAAGAATTTAACCGTGTACGCACCCAACACTTTCGGTTCAAATCGCTACTCGCAATACACTTTCACGCCGAATAAATTGGCAAACTGCTCGCTGATTATGGGCATTTTCGTAATCGTTTTGTTTTGTGCCACCAACACAAGAGGAATAAAGGCATTTTTAATGGACTAAATGCCCTTGTTGATGATTGTGGATGATTTTAAACCAAATTAGGAATTAAGAGGT